AGCAACGAGGCTTTACTAAGCGCCATACTTTGGATGAGATACGATGGTGTCAGTGATCTAACTTCAACTCTTCCTCTTGGTAATAGTCCAACAAGGTAAGGTGGGTCATACACTGAACACGGCAAAAGCTAGTGAAAATTGCCGAAACGAGAGAAAGGCAGGAACATACCTATATCGACTAACACATCGCTGAACCTTACATCCGCCAAGGAAGTTTTATGACCGTCGAAACTGGTGATAACAACTGTGTCGCCATGGAGAAATCCAAGAAGATCTCGATCCCATATTTCCACAATCCCTGCGTTGTCGCCAAAGTCGAAAAGACGGCGACATTCACCGAGTAACAGCTGGAAACATAAAGTCAACCAAAAAGGGTAAAAGAGTGTATAAAGAAGTTTTACCTGTTCTTCATCAGTGCTTTTATCGATAAGCTTCATAAGAATGTATTCGCGACCACAACTCAGGAATACAGTGTCATCAACAACTCTGAAAAGGTAGAAAAGCTGAGAATGACTTAAAACCGCCAGTTAACTGTAAATAAAGAAAAAACAACCAACTTCAAAGTTCCTGGCTTATCCGTAAATGACTGATTATACTCAAATCGGACTTCATGAAAATCGTTGTCAAGCCATTTGAAAAGATATAATCGCTTTTTCGATGAGACGAAAATGTGCATCATATCTTCATCCTGAAACATATAGAGAGATCAAACTATGCCAATTAAACAAAAAATAAAGCAGTGATTACGAACCTTACGATACCAAGTTGTAAAACTCTGTACAGGTTTTACTTTATGGAGAATATTGATGACGGGATAATGTCGGTCATCTGAACTCGAAACAAAGATTAAGAAAGAAAAATGGAAATATTTTACCGAACAAAAACGTACTCAGCGAGTGAGCGGCCATTTGTCCATCGGAGACGCAAAACAGCAGATCTTGCTCCTCACATACTTTCAACTCCAGAACAGCTTTTCTTTCAAATTGCTTGCAAAGGTTGTCGAGGTCAAAACCGCGACGATCTTAAACAAATTTTTACTGCCTTTGTGAAAAAAACAAAGCAAATAGACTCACTAGCACGTCTGGGACTGTATACAAATAGTTGTCCCACTTTACTGCCAGCGAGAACATTGCCAGTGGAGCCTAAACAGTATGATCAAAATATGTTCGAACAAATATTTGGAAAAATCACGGTACGCAAAATGAACTGAAATATTTAAAACATGAAATGTTGATAGTTAAAAACACATAAAGATCAAAATGTCTAACAATTAAAAGAATAACAAAAATAACAACAACTAAAGAGCGATTCACTCATCACATGAACAAAATATGTAAAATATTTCATGGCGGACCTACTTTGGCAAGTAAGCGAAGTGACTTCCAGTGGAAGCTTCATAGCAACTTCGTTAGCTGCATAAGCCTCATACATTTTGGCAAGTTGGTCGATTACCTTGAAAAGATATTGAGATTACTCAGGCTATAGTCGAGTCACTGAACACAGACAATGCGCGGTTTGCGGTCACTGCGGCTGCGCGGTTATAATTCAAACCTCATCATGGAGACACGGAAAGAAAAGGTTTGAGAGAAATTGTCAATATCATGTAGCTGAAAAATACATATCTAACATTTTGTTGAGACAGCAAAAAGAAAGCAAAATTGTCTTTGAATTTCTGAACAATGTGAAGCAGCGCATCTTGAAAAAATGCCAAAAATAACGCGCCCCATCGCGATTTGCAGTGCGATTCGAGCACTTCTCGTTCTTGGAGCATCGTGTTGCCCGGCAAGGCCATTTTTTTCTCAAAGAACGTGATACTGCGCGTTTATCAGCTGTTGTTGTCATGTACTTTCTCTATCTTTCCGTACCTTGCAACCGAAACTTAGCATTCTATTTCTAAATTTAGGTTAACATGCAAAGGTTAGGCGCCACTTTAGTGCGAATGGCATTGCGACCCACTTTGGCGCAACGTGCGCCCAAATTGGCTCCAACGTTTATCAGAGTGCAGAGGATGTGCACAGATAGTGTTGTGTTCGAAGTGGATACGATTGAGGATTTTACGGAAAAGGTGAGCAGGATTTAGACTTTTCTCTCCTTGATTCATCATGCTTTTCTTCATTATATCATTTTTTGTTTATTTGTTTACCTTCACTTTGAATTTATATACTTATGGAAGCTCTTCTTTGTTATATATATATCGTCATCATGTCAAACGCAGATATGCATTTTCCTTATTTGTAGACATAGTGCTTGGGGAGTAATGCATGCAAAAATGGGTGTTATAGCACGTTCAGGGCCCACAAACTCAGTTTTTTGCCTATACTTATATCTTACCTGACTCCTAGTCTATAGCCACTTCCGGGCTCCTTCTTACTGCGGTATTCTGAAGGCCCGATATTCAGTAAGACGTTTCAAGAAAGGAACTATACGAAATTTAGTACTTTTCAGTTAATTATCTATTAGGATGGAACGAAAGTTCTCGGACA